TTTACTAGAGTTTTGGGATCACCAGGGACAGTTTATACTGATTACAACCCAAAACTATTTGAAAATCCACCTAAAGCTAATCAACTGTTTCCCTAATCTCTATCATCACTACTTCAACGTTTGTAAAAACTGATCAAAACAAAGAATCAAATCCTAACAAATTACATTAAAAACACGCTGAGATTTACAGTGACTGCTTAAGCAATTTGAATTGCAAACTCGCATGATACAGCGAATAAATGAATATGTCGCGATGTTATTCATACATTCCTTCAGATCGCTAGATTCGAAATGTTCTGATGACGGAATATTTGATTCATGCAAATGGTGGATTACCCTTTGCCCTAAATGAGACGAGTTTTAAAATATTTGTGTCGTGTGATAGCTATTTTTCTAAAACCTGTTTAGCTTTTTCTTGTTTTAGCGAATTACCCTATAGGGAAGTAGCTATTACCGTAGGTCACATGGTAAGACCTAGGCCCGGGACCGATTTACTTTTTCATTTTGATGTCCCCAGAGGCCACAAACACTATTCGCTCAAATTTTTATATATGTGTCCATAAGGACATAACTTGAGTAATTTTTGTCCGATTTTGATAAAATTTGGTTTGAAGTTGAAAGGCGAGATAAACTTGAATGAGTTCGCGAACATGCATGATCGGACCATGGGAACGGGGTTTAACGAGGGGTTTTATGGGAGGAAAATGGGGGTTTCTCATTTTTACCCTTAAAACACAAAATTTCCCAATTGACCTTTTTAAAGAGCTTAAAAAACAAATAATTTAGTATATCAAAGTGTTTTTGTACAGTTATTGGTTACGGAGAAAATTTAAAAAATGTTCATTAAAAATTCCCATGTTTTTCTTATGTAGATTATTGAATATTCCCATGTTATTCTTGTGGAGAATATTTTAAGTGTTGTAGTTGGCTGCTGGAATACAGTTACAAACCCACATTGATATTATAAACATACATTGATACAACTGTGCGTTCGTTGCATTTTGTGATTTACATTGGTCATAGATGTGAAATTAGCCTTCAGTCGTTTTGTTGGAACCCGAAACATACATATTCACATATTGTCAAACCAAATCAAATCAAAATCAAATCATCAATCATCAAATCAAAATTTGATAATTTGTCTGATGTAACCATTGAGGGAAAAATCAATCATGATTCTCTGACATATAGACACACATACATTCGCATTTTGCAATACTATATGTAGGATTCATTTATCATTTAGTAAAAGATAAAGAAAACACATACGCTGAAAAGGTAGACAAGAATTGGATATGAGGGGAAAGACGGACAAAGGGGAAAGGGGAATGAGGGGAAGTGTTGGGGGAAACTAGAGCAATTATCCCCACAAGTGGGACCTTTGAAGTCGCTAAGTTGGCAGCGCTACCTCTCGTCCTCGGCTGAATAAATGAAACCAGCCTGACCTTAAATTAACTTCTGGTCTGGCAAATTTATTTCTTCCCCTGCTTTTATAGATGTAGTTTATTGTGTTCCAGTTTAATAAATCGCTGAATTTAATTCAAAGAGTATTACGTTTGTTCTTTATTGATTATGATTATAAAAAGAGGGTGTTTATATTTTTAGTACCACTTCTGGTTGTGACTTTTTCAGTTTTAGATTTGTTACCTCAAAGCTGTGTAAACAAAGGTACACTTAGTTTAGGTTAGACAGGGGAGTATTTTTATCGATAATTGAGTACTCGACCCCTGTTTCTCCCAAAAAAAACTATACATATTAGAAACCTTTCAATGAAATAAATAATTAACAAATGCCCGTTTGTATTTAGTCTACCAAATTAAATCAAACTCTCCCATACAAAAACGTATTTCCATCCTAGTATATTTCAGTTGCTAACTTTGTCGGTTTACAAACCAAACAAATCCAATGTAGATTCCCTAGTGATTTTGAAATAATATTAATTCCTTAATTTCCATTTAGTGAGTTGTTGCTAAGCAATTTGTTTAGAATTAACAAACTGAAGATAGTTATGGATAACAAGATTTTATGTGATATACGATTTTCAAAAGGGTGATACTTAATCAAAATAGATGATCCCGAAACGCTAACCACAAAACTGGTTAATTCTTAAATATTTTCGCGAATAACTTTGTTACTCTGTTTAAAAGTGTAGCCTAATCGGAATTTAATTGTAGAACTATTATTAATATCCAGTATACTGCTTAGAACCATTAGAGGCGATGTATCATACAGAGTACGGAAATGTGGAGCGTTAACAGTGATGAATGCGGGTTAGATAAACTGAACTGATGAATTTACATGATCTTCTGTAACTGAGTCTCCTTCCACTCACCTATAAAGCGGTTACAGTAGTGGTAAACTACAGTTGAAATTTAGAATACTGTGTTGTTTTTTGTTTGATTAATTTTCCTTAGTTACAATACCATGTCATTTTGTAATGGTGAACACGATAAAAGGGGAAAAAACTCAAATCGCTAAAATACTTTTGGATAAGTTTAGGATCGAATCCAAATTCACGCATTGAAATCTATGGTTAAAATAACTAGAATACCCCCGCCGCAGCAAACCTGCAGACTAAGCGAATTTCCATTTGCCTGGCTGGATTTCTACTAAAATATTCCCTGAAAATTGTCAGATTTATTTCCTATTTAAATAACATTAATTTTAATGAGTACCTAGGTTTGTTGCTACAGGGAAGGTATTGAGGTGTGTTTTTGACTTATTCTTCATGAGAATAGCATGGGAATTTTAAATTTAAAGTTTTTTTAATTTTCTCCGTAACCGTTAGGCATACAACAATGCTTCAAAATACAAAATTATTTATTTTTTAAAGCTCTACAAAATGGTCTGGAAAGATATTGTAAAATTCTGATTCTACCCGCCAAAAAAAGTAAATACTGTAACATTTTTTTGGTAAAATTGTTTACAATGTGTTTAAACAAACAAGCTTTTTACAGGTATAAATTTATCGATTGCATGGCATACAAAGTATTGAGTTTATCACTAGCTATCCCAATAGGCGTAGAGTAAAAGTGTAGTGTACCTTATTTGTATCTATTCAATCTGATTGGAAAAATTGTCATATATGAGGAAAATGTTCAAAAAGTATTGGACATAAAAGAAAAAAGCTATTTTTAACCCCCCTCCCCCCCTTCCCATCTTTATAAGAAATTAACAAACGATAAATTAACAAGCCGTGTTTCCAGTTATTTGTGTAGAACTAAACTCCATTGTTTTACCCTAAAAAAATTTCTTTGTTTTGTTATTTAGGTCAAAATATGATACTCGCTTCTAGAGAACCTAGCGAGTTTCAGATACTCGTAACTTCGTAACAGCAATTTTCGTCATTTGTTTAAATCATGTTTGGAAAATCACTCATGGAACAAGCAAGTGCAACAATTTATACTTTTCTGTTATGTAACTTAAAGATGTAATTTATTTGTCCTAAAATCTAAATGTTTATGATTTAAAAACTTCATTGCTGCAGTTTCAAACAATTCAAACAATAAAATACTAATTTTCCAAACTTGACTCATCAACTCACTGAAATTATCTTTACATTAATATGCAGTTATCAGACTTGTAGAGTCTTTCAGGATAAGAAAGTTTCCGGATAAACCAAGAGGGTGAAACTCATTGAATTTCCAATCCTGTGAGGCCAGATAAGAAAGGTGTGCTTTGGTGCTTTCCACTTACTTAACTAATACACTAAGAGGTTGGTTTATCTTTTACACGAGGACTTTCAACTAATAAAACGTGAAATTCGAGTTTAAAGTGATTACTGAATTTGATGTACACATTTTGGTGGATAAAATTGTGATTTCGTTTCTTACCTAGTTTCTCGATGAGAAAACACATTTTTGTGGATAAAATTGTAATTTCGATTTTACCTAGTTTCTCGACGAGAAAACACATTTTGGTGGATAAAATTGTGATTTCGGTTTTAACTAGTTTCTCGATGAGAAAACACATTTTGGTGGATAAAATTGTGATTTCGGTTTTTACCTAGTTTCTCGATGAGAAAACACATTTTGGTAGATAAAATTGTAATTTCGTTTTTACCTAGTTTCTCGATGAGAAAACACATTTTGGTGGATAAAATTGTGATTTCGTTTTTACCTAGTTTCTAAAAATGGTCAAAAAAAAACATAAAAAACATGGTGAGAAAACATAGTGTTTGACCGGAAAAATACACTGTATTAGTATTATATGATTAAATGCATTGTACTCGAACACAGACGGGACTATTTGATTCAAATAGGATTTATTGCAGTATATTCCGAAAAATAGAAATTTTACCAAGCAGCACAAACGGCATAATATCAACTACACAATCAATTAATATCAACACATATTGTATAAACAAATTGAATTCAATGGACATTTGTTAACATTGCCCACATCGGTTTTAACCACTTTATGTTCTCCACACGAATGTCAGTATTGGAATTGCAGCACAAAAACTATGGTTGGTAAAGACAACATTGATACATTTTACTAAATTTGTTTAAGATCAACTGACGATTTGGCATGTAAAAATAATGTTACATGTATGAAAGGTAAAAGTAATTGTTATTCTAGCACCTGTTGGTTGCTTTTTGACCTCTTTGATAAAATTGATTCTATAGGTAGGCCTGCGGCTGTCTGCGTGTATGTTGATAGGAAAACACCACTGAACTGAGTGGGAAAATTAAACATAAAAGTAAGTCATGAACCCGACGACGCAAAGTTTTATGTCCGCAAAAGTTGTAAAAAATTAAAATGGTTTCCTTAATGATTGTGCGTGTGTAGCTGTTTCCTTAGGTGAATTTGGATAACCAAATTGTTCTCTTTCGTGTCCTTAAACTGAGGGAAGAAAATAGTGATAAATATATTTATATCATCTTGTTATTAATGTTAGGATTTTGCAACGAATAGTTTTTAGTCTAGTGCTAAAACACGAGGCATCAACAACATTCTCTACTCACTACGGTCTACGGAAGTAATTGAACAGTGCTTACAGTTTTTTCAGAACGTCCCCTCACCACACCGTCATGACTCGGTATACGCGGTACATACCTGTGAACAACATACAGCTGTTTAACATACAATATCAACACAAACAACACCGTCATGACTCGGTATACGTGGTACATACCTGTAAACGACATACAGTTGTTATACATACAATATCAACAATACAAACAACACCGTTATGACTCGGTATACGTGGTACATACCTGTAAACGGCATACAGTTGTTAAACGTACAATATCAACAACACACACACATGACTCGGTATACGCGGTACATACCTGCAAACAACATACAGCTGTTAAACATACAATATCAACAACACAAACAACACACACATGACTCAATACGCAGTACATACTTGCGAACAACAACATACAGCTGTTAAACATACAATATCAACAACACAAACACACATGACTCGGTATACGCGGTACATACCTGTGAACAACATACAGCTGTTAAACATACAATATCAACAACACAAACAACACCATAATGACTCTGTATACACGGTACATACCTGCAAACAACAACATACAATTGTAAAACATACAATATCAACAACACCGTCATGACTCGGTATACGCGGTACATGCCTGTGAACAACAACATACAGTTGCTTAACATACAATAGCAACAACACAAACAACACCGTTATAACTCGGTATACGCGGTACATAACTGTAAACAACATACAGTTGTTAAACATACAATATCAACAACACAAACAACACCGTTATAACTCGGTATACGCGGTACATAACTGTAAACAACATACAGTTGTTATACATACAATATCAACAATACAAACAACACCGTTATGACTCGGTATACGTGGTACATACCTGTAAACGACATACAGTTGTTAAACGTACAATATCAACAACACACACACATGACTCGGTATACGCGTTATACCTGTGAACAACAACATACAGCTGTTAAACATACAATATCAACAACACAAACACACGTGACTCGGTATACGCGGTACATACCTGCAAACAACATACAGCTGTTAAACATACAATATCAACAACACAAACAACACACACATGACTCAATACGCGGTACATACTTGCGAACAACAACATACAGCTGTTAAACATACAATATCAACAACACAAACACACATGACTCGGTATACGCGGTACATACCTGTGAACAACATACAGCTGTTAAACATACAATATCAACAACACAAACAACACCATAATGACTCTGTATACACGGTACATACCTGCAAACAACAACATACAATTGTAAAACATACAATATCAACAACACCGTCATGACTCGGTATACGCGGTACATGCCTGTGAACAACAACATTCAGTTTTTAGTGGTACAATATCAACAACACCGACATGACTCATGTTAAGATATGGATTCTTGTTAACCAAGAAACAAACTGCGTTCAAGGATATACACATAGACCTTTCATGGAGAGAGATTCAATGATGAAAAGTTGTGACTCGGACTTAAGTCTCTCTCAACGACAAGATCCTCTTTCTTAAAGAGAGAATGCCAAAGAAAACCCCCTTTAAACTTGTTGTTATAGGTTATGAAATAGGTAAATGATTACAGTGACGCTGAGGTCGCCAGGCAACAGACTACATCTGGTCTCGGCGTTGCTAAGATACGGGAACAATCAATAGCATCTTTGAGGCCAAGATTCTTTCATTAAGTGATTCTAATATCACTTCCGCGCTGAGTTGGCGAAGAAATCACCTGGGTAAAGTTTTTAAATATAAGTTGTTTTCTTGGAATGTTCTGTTGAAATTTTCATTGTAATTAATAATTGTGCTCAGCCAGTTTAGTGTTAAGATTACTTACTTAAACATTTTAAGTTGGCCGTTCGTAAGTTAAGAAAAACCCCCCGCTGCAGCAAACCTGCAGACTAGCGAATTTCCATTTAACTGGATTTTCTCCTATTCCCAAAAACTTGTTTGCATCACTATACGCCGTCTTTGTAACCAATTAATAACTTTACACTTATTGCCCTCTGTTATTTAAGGTGAGTTTGTGACTTCGCAAGTTTTTCTCAACACGATGTTTTCTAAATAAAACTCTAAAGTTCCACAGGTTACTTTACAATTCCTACAGCCGTTGTTTGCCACATTTAACAGCTTTCCACACAACAATTCTCTCTCTTGAGGGTTGTAAAATGACAAACACAGACTCATTCCACGTCTCTGCTCCCTGATATACATCTAGACCTATCTCGTGAGTTCTTTGTTCAAAATAACCTTTTATAACGGTTCATCAACGTTGGCGATCGAATTAATTTTAGAATTCTTAATCGTGTTGTAAAAAGAATTTGCAACGTTTCAGAGTATAAGCTCTGACTATGGAGTATTCCGACTGCATATTAGGTCTGTTTTGATTTCAGAGATAACATTTTAATACGTAAAATAGATAGTAAGGGAAAGACTTAGTTTTAGATTTTACATTTTCGTAAAACCTACTTTTAGCTTTTCATCCACTATAATTTGTGACTCATCTTTCAAATCATTTTCCAAAATGTAGCAAGTAAAATAATTGAACCATTTTCTTTGAAAATAAATTTACTATAGTTTGTAACCTTATTTAAGTTACCTTCAGTATCCGAAAGTCAATGGTAAAACCAGCGATAACATAAGACTAATGGTTGGGTGGATAAAACATAATATTAGGTTATTTCCGGCAAAATAAGGTTGTCTCGAAAAGGGTAATAGCAATATAATTTTATCTTCACAACTAGTCCAGTCAATGAATGATCCAAAAGTAGGTGTAGAGTGCGTGAGCAGGTAACTAAGCGATTCCTTCCTTAGCTGTTGTCATATATGCACAAACAAAATAATAATAGGCCTAGTGCTGCACCCTGTTGGGCAACCTTCTATTTTTTTAATTCTACTGCATATTATAGAACCAACTTGGAAAGTTGAAACAGCTGACTAAATTCTTTAATTCACTTTAAATATGAATACTCATAAGTTTAACATGGGGAACTATAGAGCCACTGGGGTGGAGCCCGAAAGGATTTTTGAGATAAGAATATGCCTAAGTGTTAATAGGGAATGTGAGCTATCATCATGCCAAATTTCAGCCCAATCCGTCCAGTAGTTTTTGCGCGATTGAGCAACACACAAACTCACAAACTTTCAGATTTATAATATTATGGTGCTTGCCTATCCCGGTTCATCAATAAGGAAAGTCTTTGGTTATTTAAGTTCAAAAATAGACCCAGCTGTCCTTGATAATTGGTATTTTAATACTGTAAGTTGTCCTGAAAAAAAAACACCTGATCGTGTTTAGTACAAAGATACTGCAACTCTACACACAGCTTGCATTCAAATACAGCCATACGTGAGTTGAAGAATTGAATCAAATTGCACAAAATGGACACAGAAGTATCAGGGGAGCATTAGAGCTTCGCTCGTTGCTGCCCTGACGTCAATTTCACCACCAATTTAACCTCCTAAGAGCACAATAGTTAGTAGCAGAGTAAAACCAAAAACCAATACTACTGCCCAAAACTCCAACACCAAAAGGATTTAAAATATTCGTCCTGGCCCTTACTTTAGCTGCAGTTTTTTACATGGGTTTTACAAGTTAGATCATCTAGGCTCACCCTAATATTGTGGGTTAAATCATGTCTGTACATTGTTGAATGCGATTAGTTTTAACTGTATGTTACTCAATTATAAGCACACAACTTATCTTTTGCATTTTAATTTTTCTTCCAGGTTTTAAAATTTGTTGAGTGTTAGGTAGGAAGCTAACCTCTCACTTAATTTTTTTTCAAACCCTGGACAGTGCTATCCTAGATGAGATTCTTTGGGCGGAACATTATTTGCATAAACAATAAACAGCAATGTGGTAACACCGTCAAGTAATAATCAGGGTGTTCAAAAGTACTCTTTAGAGGCTTCGGATATTGTTAAATCATCCCTTATTATTACATTTCATCGCTGACATTGTTTAGTCCAGTCAAGGAATGAGGTGTAGAGTGCGTGAGCAGGTAACTAAGCGATTCCTTCAGAAACTTGTTCAGGGGGCTTAGGGTGTTAACATACCAAAAGTCCTGACTCCTAGGTGGTGAGCCAGGGGGTGGAGGGGGGAAAAAGGGGGGGGAAAAGGTACGCATTTTAGGTTTTTTGATTATATCTCGAAAACTATCAACTTTTTGTATACTATAGTAAATTATAAAATTGAAGAAGATTAAATTTTCTACAAGAAAAGTATATAATGTGTTTATTTTGGTTCAACAGATTACGAGTTATAACTTATTTAATTGATATCTTATTAAAATACTCCTTCCATAAGAAATACATGTAAATTAGTATGCGAAATGGGGCGAATCCTATCCGCCCAAAGGAAATATAACTGATATTCTGGAAATCTTGACAAAATTTCCAGTAATTTGACACTTTAACCATGAAATTTTGTCAAAAATTAAAGCGAGGGTGAGCGTTTAAAAATGGGATGATTTAAGGTTTTTTTTATATTTCCAATAAAAAAAACACCAAAACTCGATATTTTGTTACCTCGCCCTCGCCTTAATTTTGGATCAATTTTAATGATTAAAGTGTCAAATTACTGGAAATTTTGTCAAGATTTCCAGAATATTATTTATATTTCCTTTGGGCGGATAGGATTCGCCCCGTTCCGCATACTAATTTACATGTATTTCTTATGGAAGGAGATTTTAATAAGATATCAATTAAATAAGTTATAACTCGTAATCTGTTGAACCAAAATAAACACATTATATACTTTTCTTGTAGAAAATTTAATCTTCTTCAATTTTATAATTTACTATAGTATACAAAAAGTTGATAGTTTTCGAGATATAATCAAAAAACCTAAAATGCGTACCTTTTCCCCCCCCTTTTTCCCCCCTCCACCCCCTGGCTCACCACCTAGGAGTCAGGACTTTTGGTATGTTAACACCCTAAGCCCCCTGAACAAGTTTCTGAAGGAATCGCTTAGTTACCTGCTCACGCACTCTACACCTCATTCCTTGACTGGACTAAACAATGTCAGCGATGAAATGTAAT